TATATATATGAGGGTAATGAGCATACAGGCAGGGTCTTGATTTTAAAAAATCTTACAAGGAGCTTCCAAACCAAAACCCACTGCTGTGGATGTGATTCCAACTCATAGTGACTCTACAGGACAGTGTGGAACTGCTTCATAGGTGTCCCAGGCTGTAAATCCTTGCTGAAGCAGAGTATCCCATCTTTCTTCTGTAGAGTGGCCGGTAGGTTCAAATTGGTAGACCTTTTGGTTAGCAGTTCAATTTAGACCACTGCACTACTAGGGCTCCTTAACAAGTGTCTTAGTAAAAGAAAATAATCTAACTGCAAAACCTAGCAAAAATAATTTCATTAAAATTCCTATGTCTACTTAGAAAAATAACAAGAAATGAAATTGAAGAGTAAATAGTAGACCACTCCCAATCTTGCCAAGGATACACCTTTAGCAGCATTTTCCAGAAATACTACGAGGACTTACTTTTTGTCATCAGACAGGTCAATGTTGGTCCCAAACTTTATGGTTTTAAAGGGTCCTTTCCTCCTTTTCCCAGAACTTAAAAAAAGAGAGACAACATTTGAAACATGTCTTTTAATAAGAAATACTAAGCAGACATAAAAAATTACTTACTTATCTGAAGATGTGGATTCATTATCAGAGTGGTCTTTATGATGACTTCTTTTCTCATTTTCTTCCTACAGATTAAGCAAAAATCATTCTAGCTTAGTAGTATCCCAAGTCAGTCTACTCTTTCTATTATAACACAGGAGAAAAAAAGAAGTTAACATCTAGCCTGAGCGTGAAGTTTCTATAGGCTTCTTTCACATGAAAACGTATTGAAAGACCTCATTAAATAAAGTCTCAAGAAAAGTCAAAGCTCACTGGCATGATATTTAAGCCTCTGCCACAGCCATAAATGTAGTTACCCTTGAGGTTTTCTTAATACATTCTTCTATAAGGTACAAACCTATAGGTTTCTCTTATCTGCTCCATAGTCACTTTAGGGAAAAAGTTGAGAGGACTAAAAATGATCACTCATGACTATAACTGCCATGGTGACAAAGCAATGGCACACTACCTAAATTAGATGAGATTGACATGTGTGCATAGCTACAGATGCAAAGATAGGAGAAAGTAGTAAGACAAGATGCTCTTTACTCTTCTATTCAACTTAAAACAAATTCTTCTTGGGTTACAATTTTGTCACAATTAATTTTATATGAATGATAAAACATTTACAACATTAGCAAGGAAATTAAATGCAGGATAAATAAACTTGATTTTTAATATAAACATTACTTTTATTTATAATTCTTCTGTCATATACATATCTCTTAAGACAATTCTACGATTTCTGAGTTGGTAATATTGTCATGATATTTTGGACTTCCTTTAAATGTGCATTTCAAATTTTTTACATGTATTATTCCATACCTTAGATCATGTTATAATCCATCCTCTCTTTGTTTATCTTTGCTTTTTAACTCTTCCTCCAAATTTATCCTTTGATGATCTTTGAATTCTACTTCTATTCTGACAATAATACTAATAATTAATAATTCATCACAATCACCTTCTCTTGCTGCACAAGAAGCTCTTAAATCATTGAAAATGCTTCCAGCCTTTTCCTGCACTTAAAGAAGGCTAATAAGAACTGCATGGACCTGTCCTGACTTACCTACATATTCTTAAAGATAATTAGGAATGGATCTTGTTCATATCACAATGCCTGTGTACAATTTATAGATACAGATGTTGTCTTAATTGAAAATGTGAATCAAGGGCAGAATTTTAAGAATTTTTTTTACAGATAAGCAATTCTAATAAATTACAAATTAAAAAGTGTAATCATATCCTAAGTTTCAGCTGTGGGATGCATGAAGAACAACTTAGTATAGACAGGCATATCTGTAATATACTTAACTGATTTCTGTGAATTATTTATGTTCACTTTTGGGAGGAATTCACAAAGTTCTCACTATAGGACTAGAGAATTCTAGTAATGCTTTTAGTAACATCTGTCTGATTACTTTACAGCTTCTTATACTGTGGAGGCTTCTAGGTTGCTGTAATGCTAGAAGCTGTGCCACTGGTGTTTTAAATATCAGCACAGGCAACCCCGGTGGAAAAGTTTCATCAGAGCTTCCACACTAAGACAAACTGAAGAAGGAGAGCTGGATCATTTCTGAAAACCTTATGAATAGCACCAAAACACTGTCAGATACAGTGCCGGACCATGAGGCCCTCAGGTTAGAAGGCACTCAAAATACAACTGGGGAAAAGCTGTTTTCCTCAAAGTAGAGTTAATCTTAATGATGTGAATGGAGCAATACTTTCGGGACCTTCATTTGCTGATGGGTCACAACTCAAAATGAGAAGACATAGCTGCAAACATCCATTAATAATTAAAACATGGAATGTATGAAGTATGAATCTAAGAAAATTGGAAGTTGACAAAAATAAAATGGAACACATATTTATATCCTAGGATTCGTGAGTAGAAAAGGACTGACGCTGACCATTTTTAAATAGATAATCATCTGGTTTTCAATGCCGGTAACGACAAATTTAAGAGGAATGGGATCCTATTCATTGTCAAAAAGAGCATTTCAAGATATATCTTGAAGTACAATTCTGTATGTGATGGGATAATATCCATATATGCCTACAATAAAGACCAGTTAATACTGCTATTATTCAAATTTACTTACCACCACTAAAAAGTCAGTGATGATGAAATTGAAGATTCTAACAAATGACTTCAGTCTGAAATTGATCAAGCATGCAATTGAGATACACTGATAGATAATTACTGGTGATGGGAATGGCAAAATTGGAAACAAGAGGAAGGATTTGTAGTAAAAAAAAGTAGGGTCTCGGTTATAGAAAGGATGCTGGAAATCACATGACACAATTTTGCAAGACCAATAACTTATTCATTATAAATAACTTTCTTAAACACATGATAACTTTCTTAAACATGAAAGGCAACTATACAGGAGGGGACCAGTTGCTAGAGAAGGATAAGTTTGGTAAGGTGGAGGGTCAGAGAAAAAGAGGAAGACCCCCAACGAGATAGATTGGCCAAGTGACAGCACTGATGGACTCAAGCGTGGCAATGATAGTGAGGTTGGCCCAGGATCGGGCAGTGTTTCGTTCTGCTGTGCATAGGGTCACTATGAGTCGGGGCCGACTCGACGGCACCTAACAACAACAACAAATACATGTGGACCATACACGTGAACCTCACCCCATGAACACACAGGAATCAAACTGACTACATCTGTAGGGAAGAGATGATACAGAAGTTGAACCTCATTAGCTAAAACAGAAGGGTCAACTGTGGAACCATCAATTGCTCATATGCAAGTTCAGACAGAAGCTGAAGAAAATTCAAACAAGTTCATGAGAGCCAAAATATGACTGTGAATATATCCCCCAAGAATTTAGAGATCATTTCAAGAGATTTGATGCATTCGACACTAATGACTGAAGACCAAAAGAGTTGTGGGATGACATTAAGAATATCATACATGAAGAAACTTATTAAAAGACAGGAAGAAAAAGAGAAAAAAAAATGGATGCCAGAAAAGACTCTGAAACTTGCTCTTTAACTTAAAAAAAACCTTTTTATTGTGAATTGAGTCAAGGTTTACGGACAACAAATCATACACTGTTTTATCTCAATTATTACACTCCCCTCCTTGCAACAACAGTTGTCTTGCTTCCTCCCTGTGGTTCCTATTTGCATTCAACCTACTTTCCTATCCCTTCTCAACTTTGTCTTGAGGAAAATGTTGCCTTTTTATTTTGAATGATTGACCATTCCATGGTGAAAAATACCTTACTATTGCTGTAGCCCCCTACTACTACTGCGTGGCTGAAAATTGGGCCACGAAGATGAGTTCCTTTCCAGAACTAAAGGGTGGTTGAGGGCCATAGTCTCAAGTTCCTTTGGTCTCTTTTTGACCAATAAAGCTGGTCTTTTCTTGAAACTAAATAATTTTGAGTTCTGTTCCACATTTCTCACTTTATCCAAGACTCTCTAATGTGATCCCTTATCAGGGGCAGTTCTTCTGGTCTCAGACTCGTGATAACTCGTGTTCACATATCCAATAGTGTATTGGACTAATAGATTCCAAGTCTCTTCAATTCTTATCACTCTTCTTTCTTCCATACATGGAGGGACCAATAGCTGCTCATGACACTACTCACCCAAGTAGGATGTAGAATATTGTCTTTGTAGACTATGTTATACCAATTAACCATGGTGTCCTCCAGGTCCATAAACTCATTGCCTTTGGATGTTTGATAATATCTAGGAAGTTGTCAAATTTTTGCATGTTTTGTGCTCCAGCACAATAGTTATGTTTGAAGGAAAGGTAAATACTCATGTACAAACATCCTCTTTCAAACTTACATATTTTTGGGATATATAAAAATCTATATCCCAATCTTCCTGTCTTACCCATTCAGCCTATGTCCCAAGGCTGTGTATGTCTCACTACTTACCTCTATTCAAAAGAAGGTGAAATGAATAACAGAGTTACTGTAGCAAAAAGAACTGGTCTAAGCACAACTATTTCAAGAGATAGTATATGTTCAAGGAAGAAGCGCAAGGTATACTGAAGTACTGAAGAAACACGAAACTCCAGGAATTGATGGAATACAAATGAAACATTTCAGCAAACTGATGCAACACTGGAGACACTCACTCATCTATGCCAAGAAATTTGGAAGGCAGCTATCTGGCCAACTGATTGGAAGACATTCATATTTATGACCATTCCAAAGAGAGGTGACTCAGTAGAATGCAGAAATCATTGTAACATCATTAATATCACATGCCAAGTAAAATTATGCTAAAGATAATTCAAATATGATCATAGCAGCACACTGACAGGGAACTGCCAGAAACTCAAATTCGATTCAGAAGAGGGTTATGTGATGAGGGATATCATTGCTGAAATCAGATGGATCTTGGCTGAAAGCAGACAATACCAGAAAGATGTTTACTTGTGCTTTACGGACTATGCAAAGGCATTCGACTATGTGGATCATGAAAAACCATGGATAACATTACAAAAAATGGTTATTCCAGAACACTAAAACTGTATTCATGAGTAGTAACCTGTACACAGAAAAAGAAGCAGTCATTCAAACAGAACAAGGGAATACTGAATGATTTAAAATAATCCAAGCAGCTGGATTATATAAAGAAGAATGTGGCATCAAGATTTAAAGCATACTTGTTAACAACCTGTGATACGCAGATGATACAACCTTGGTTGCTGAAAGAGAAGGGGATTAAAAACAGTTACTTATAAAGATCAAAGACTACAGCCTTCAGTATGGACTGCACTTCAACTTCAATGTAAGGAAAAAAAAAAGCAAAAACTAACAACTGACCCAATAAATAACATCATGATAAATGGAGAAAATATTTAAGTTGTCAAAGACTTCATTTTCTTGGCTCCATAATCAACACTCATGGAAACAGCAGTAAAGAAATCAAACGACATACTGCATTAGGCAAATCTGCTACCAAATAGCTCTTTTAAGTGTTAAAGAGCAAAGATGTCAGTATAAGGACTAGTAAAGTGCACCTGGCCCAAGATGCCTGCGAAAGTTGGACTGGAAAGACTGAGGAAGAATTGATGCATTTGAATTACCACGTAGTTGGAAACCATTGCAAGTGCCAATGGGATGCCAAAACAACAAATTAATCTGTCTTGGAAGAAGTACATCCAGACTGCTTCTTAGAAGCAAGGATAGTGAGACTTCATCTCTCATCTCTGGACACATTGTCAGGAGGGAACAGTCCCCTGGAGAAGGACATTATGCTTCATAAAGGGAAGGGTCAACAAAAAAGAGGAAGACTCCCACAATGAGATGAACAGATACAGGGTGCAGCAGCAATGAGTTCATTTGCAACAACCGTGTGAATGGCACAGGACTGGGTAGTGTTTCATTCTATTGTGCATAGAGTAGCTATGACTTGACAGCATCTAGCAACAAGAAATATATTTTGAGAGATTTCCTATAAATTTCTGAATCTTTCTCAGTTTTCTGCTAAGTACTGAGAATGATAGGGAGAAGACTATCACCTCTTAATGTCTTATCTCTCAGATTGATTAAGAACTAATCTGGTAGAAAAAAAAAAAATGGAAAAGACACAGGACATGGACTTCCACAGCATACTGCAAATATGATACTTAACTTTATCCCTTAGTGGTTCTGAATCACAGTGACTGTTGTCCCCCTTTCACCCTGGAGACATTTGGCAATGTAGCTATATTTTTGTCACACTAGGGGTGCAGAGTTGCAGGGTGATGCACTGGACCACAGTGTCAGTTTGAACCACTTATCGGAAACCCTATACAGGGTTGCTATTAAGTCAGAACCAACACGAAGGCACTTAACCACAACAACACAGATGCTCAAAAGGAGCCCTGGTAGCACAGTGGTTATGTATTGGGCTGCTAACCACAAGGTTAGCACTTCAAATCTACCAGCCACTCCAAAGGAAAATGAGGCTTTCTGTTCCCATAAAGATTTACCGCCTTGAAAACCCTATACAGAGTCGCTATGAGTTGGAACTGACCAGACAGCACATGCCACACACCACCACCAGGCATCTTGTCGGTAGAGGTCAGAGATGCTACTATGATCCTGTGATACACAGCACAATCCCTAACAACAACAAAAAATTATGCAGTCCAAAATGTCAATAATGCCAAGATTGAGAAACCCTGCTCTAAAACAATGGAGATGCCTAACAGTGCTTGTGGGAAAATTAATGAAATGGGGAAAAAAAAAAAAAAAAAGATAAAGGAATTTTTTCAAACTTTTTGAAGCACCATCATATTTATCAACAACCTATAAGGTCACTTAAACTTTATTAAGAGTAAACTTTATAGCATGTACAAAATATTTTATATAATTATATGAAAAACACAAAAAAAGCAAATGTTTTTAAAGTAATATGTCCTTTTAAAGCTTTAAAATAATCTTCAGGAAACATCTACTTACTCTCAATGATTCCTGGAATGAGGAGGCCTGGTACTGTGCATACTTAGCAATTGTAGTATGAGATCTATTACTTTCACAATGCCAAATTTTCTTCGTTCCAGTGGGATCCCAGTTTTCATCTGCAGGTTGCAGCAACTGTGTCCTCACTTCTACCATATGTTCATTGTTAGCTTCTACCAAAGTTTTAGTAGAGAAAAGCCCCAGGTCTTTATAAAAAACAAATAAATAAATAAATGTAATTAATGAACAAAAAAGGCATTTGGAATGATTATTTTTAAATAACTTCTAATTAGGAAAAAAGGAGAAACAATTTTACGGTGCCCTATCCAGGGCCTTTATATACTCTGAAATGTGAAGTGGCAAGTTCGCACAGTTACACACTGAAGCCCTACCCTACCTAGAACTAATCCTCATGTCATCCCCAAGACACAAAGTCAAGAGTCCAAAGCTGAAGTTTCACTCAATTTTCACAAATACCAGGAAACACCTAGAGAGTTGTAGCACTTAGCAGGACCAACAAAGTTCACCCAAATTTTATATTCCAAAAATATTCTTTATCAGTTAACTGGAACCATAATTCTATAATTAGATTTGAAAAAACTTAAATGTAAAAGCTATCATGAAATTACTAGTAATCGGTATCACCAGAGAGTCCTGGTATGGTGCTATTGGACAAGCACTGGACTGCTAATTACAAGTTTGATGGTTCAAACCCATCAATCGCTTCTTGGAAATCCTATACAGGGTCACTATGAGTCGGAACTGATTTAACAGCACTTAACAAGTATCACCATTATATATTCACATCATGAAGTAAAGAAGTGATACAGACATACACATTTAGACGCAGGAAATTATTAAAATGAAAACATATAAACATGCACACACAAGGAAAAAAAACACAATTAAAAATGAATTGCTGCTAGTGTTTTGAAAGTTAAAAGATAGTAAACAAAATATATAAATTTTTTCCCCTGAATTTAAAGCTTACCTAACTTAAGAGCTCCAGCAAGGCCACGTATTACTGTAACAGGGTTGTTTGGATTTGTACAAAATTGATGTAATGGAGGAAAGAAAGCATCACGTTTATTTTCCAACTGTAAAATTAAAATGTGTGGTTAGATCTCACAAGAAGGGCATTTTAATTTAAATATAATGTCATAAATTCATTATTTATTGAATCAAAAGTAAATAATGCATCCTCTATACTATTGCTAAGGAGCTCTGGTAGTGTAGTGGTTACGAATCATGCTGTCCACCTCAGGGTCAGCAGTTCTAAACTACCAGCTGTTCTGCGGGCGAAAGATGAGGTTTTCTGCTACCGTAAAGATTTATAGCCTCAGAAACCCTATATAGGGTCTCTATGAGTCAGAACCGATTCCAAGGCACACTACCACCATCACCACCACCACCAACATACTATTACTAGAGTCCTGGTGTGGCGCTGTTGGATAAGCACTAGACTGCAAGGTTGGTATGAATCGCAAGGTCAACGGTTCAATCTCACCAGCCACTCCTCAGAAACTCTATACAGGGCTGCTATGAGTCAGAACTGACATGACCGTGGGAGAAAGATGAGGCTTTCTGCTCCTGTAAAGATTTACAGCCTTGGAAACCCTGTACAGGGTCGCTATGAGTCGGAACCATCTCCACGGCACATAACAACAACAACCTTTGATTTTATAATTAGACAATAAACACATATATTTCTCACTCATTATATTTTGAGCAAAATACATGGGGGAAATTAAATTTAAATTAAACTTCATAATCAAAGTGTTCTAAAAAAATATTATAGAAATGATAGCAGGCTGAAGAAAACTCAAAACAGACTCATCTTAATTTTGTATTTTTCCCCTCGAACATCAATTTAAAAGGTATTATTACACTTCTAACCTAGTGCCCTCCTTACACAGTAAGTAATCAGTAAGTATTGGTTGTGGGAAATATTAACCTGACAAATGACGTCTAGAGAGCAAAACATGCTAAAATTCCACAGAACAAACTCTTAGCATTATATGGAGTATGGTGTGGTGCTGCAGGATATGCACTGGACTGCTAATATAAGGTTGGCGGTTCAAACCCACTTGCCAGTTCTCAAAAACCTTATACAGGGTCACTTTGAGTTGGTACGGACCTGAAGGCTTAACAACAACTGTCATTTTATAGATGCAAAATCATTCTGGATAAGCTGTTTTGTTATGTGCCATGGAGTCGGTTCTGACTCATAGCAACCCTGTACAGGGTTTCTGAGGCTGTAAATCTTTACGGATACATAACCCTAATTTTACAGCTTTAACTTTTTCTTCTTTCATTTGGAGTAAACTGGGAGGATGGAAGGAAATGGGATAAGAGGGTCTATTTGGGACAACGGTAAATAGGAGTTTTGATTGCACCCTTATTAATTTCCTGTATAAGATGTCTAAATTTCTGTAAAGTATAAATATAGTTTTAAAAAACTTTGTTTTATCTATCATATCTTAGTCTCAAACATTTTTATAAAAAGCAGATAATCTTTTGTTGTAGATGCATGCATAAAACAAAAAGAATGCTAAAGTCCATTCAAGTAGTAAGTGGCAGAATGTAGCTAACTCAAAAAAAACCAAAGAAAGAAAAAGAAAAAAGTGGAACCCTGTTGGTGGCATAAGTTAAAACGCTGGGATGCTAACCACAAGGGTTGGTGGTTCAAACCCACCTGTTCTCTACAGGAGAAAGATGAGGCTGTCTGCTCCCATAAAGATTTACAGTCTTGGAAATCCAAAAGAGCAGTTCTACTCTTCCTTACAAGGAGCTATGAGTCAAAATCAACTTGATGGCCATAAGTGGGTTACTCAAAAAAGTCACAGGTAACTTCTGCCTAATATTTCTAAAGATTGGGTGAGGACAACATATTTCTTGCTACTCTCACATAACCTAGTAAATTACCGAGAAGGAACAATTTTAACATGCTATTACAAAATAGTTTTATACATTCATCCCCTGCCTCTCCCCCCAAAAATTTCAAGTTGTTGCCAATCATTTTAATGCTTACTAAAAGGAATATGTATGCGGGAGAAAGATGAGGCTTTCTACTCCCGTAAGGATTTACACCCTCGGAAACCCTGTACAGGGTTTGCTATGGGTCGGCTCCGACTCGAAGGCACTTAACAACAACAACAACAAAAGGAATATGTATAAAGTTAAAGGAAGAGCATCTAAAGACAGGTAAGTGCAAGCACAGGTTTAACTTATTTCTAGACAATCAATTCAGACTCACATAAATACTAGGTGTAGGTGGATTCAACTTGTCCTTTGGCAAAGGAGGATATGGTGAAGATGGTGGTCTTGGAGGTGGACATTTATCCAACAAAATGCTACTGTTAGACAAGCCATTTTTACCTAGATTTCTTAAAAAAACAAAGAAAAGAATAAATCAGCTGTGCATTTATTTAGAACACAGAAAAAAAGAACCCTGAACTAGGTCCTACTTAAATTATTACGCATTTGCATAAATATAAACCAATCCATGAGATGTGATCCCATCAGGACAATTATTAATTTTAGCAACTACTTATCATGAGTCCCTCTATTTTTCAATGAAGAAAACTAATACAAAAGATACCAAACCATAAATTATTGATGATATTCCCTATTTGCTTGTAATTTTCTAAGTTTTCATTAAAACATTAACTCTAATTTTCTTTCAACCATCAGTTTCTTTCCACCAAATATTAAATAACCTGACCAAAATAGACCTAGATAATAGTCTTAAATTCAAATGTACAATAGCCCTCTTCCTGTTAGCTCATCTCAGCAATTATAACTAGAATACCTTTGTGATAACTCTCAAATCTGAAAAGATCTTTTCTTTACTAAACTCTTAAAATATTTTTCATATAACTTCTTACCTAATAATATTTCAGCAAGACTCTCATCTACTATATTTTATGGCAAATCTTACCAATTTTCTGACACTGAATATAATTATTACTTACTAGCATTTGGGTTTCTATCCTTTAATGAATATATTATATTTGTTAAATAAGTTCTTAAAACATGGTAGATTTCCAAACTGCAATCCTTTCCAATCTCTAAAAATTTCTATTCAACTCACAAAACCAGCAAAGATACAATTTTAGAGCTTTCAAATCATTCCAAGTTAATTTGCTTCACTCACTTAGTACAAGTTCGAAAATAGTCAATGCATTAAAATATCAAGTACTTGAATATTAAAATTTCAGATTGTTGTTAAGTTCCATCAAGACGGTTCCAACTCATAGCGACCCTGTATAGGGTTGCCGAGGAACGGCTGGTAAGTTTGGACTGCTGACCTTACTGGCCAATGCATTACGTAATTATTGAGCAAAGTAAAAAAAATCAGCAACTGTACTTACTAAAGAAATGAGCTACTTTCCATTACAAATTATATAATAACACAAGTTGAAATAAAACTAATGTTCCTTATTTTGTTGTTTTTGCTACATATGAAAATACTATAATCAGCCTTTTTTTGTTGGCTTAAAGTTCAAATGTACAATCATTTGAGATGTTATACTACATACAACCATAGAAGTAGGTCATTTTCTTAATTTTCTCAACTACAACTTCAAGTAAAACGAAAGAGTTCATGACAGATCTCAAAGAAATGAATTAGATTGAATATTTCATTTTAATTATCTGCGGTACCAACAGTTAATTGTCTACAACATTCTGAGAACTAATAAAACAATAGAAAATACAGGCACCTTTATTTTAAAGTAGAAAAAGATAAGATATGACCAAGGGAGATGGTATTGATTCACTAACAATTTTAAAAAAGAAAAGCACAGGTACTGTAATTGCCTTTTAATATATACACTGGCCACTGAAATACCAAGCTAACCCAAACAAGGGCTAGATTAAACACAACCATCCCTTTAAATACTAACTGGTCTTAAACTTAATTTCATGTTTACCCACATCATTTAATAGACAAATGGAGGCGAGCTCTGTAAGTAAACCTATCTATATGTTGATTTTCTTTGTTTATAAAGATCCTAGATCAGACATGAAGTCTCTTGAACCTATGTACTTTCCCCCCTCCTGCCCAGCCAGGGCCACCATTAATAGGACAAAAATGGCAAACAACATGACACTTATCAGTTGTCATCCTGACTTTTTCTCTAAGACTCAGAAGATTTATATTATCTCCAAATTATCAGACTGGCTTTTGTTGTTGATTTTTGGTCTCTTCATTAATAAACTAAGGCCTGGATTAAGCTGGAAAAACTCAAGCAATCACAAGAATGTTTCAATGAATCTAGTAATCTTTAACATGTGGTGGTGGTGGTTGAGTGCCGTCATGTTGTTTCTGACTCATGACGAGGGTTTCTGAGGCTGTGTATCTTTACGGGAGCAGACAGCCTCATCTTTCTGTCTTTGACATGCATTTGATTAGCATTGGATTGCAAGGGCAGTTTGAAATGCAAGGTCAGTGGTTCAAACTCATCAGCTGCTCCTCAGAAACAGGG